GAGATGGCTCAACCTCACCAACCTCCCAGACCGGGAAAAGGAGGATGTGCTGGATATGCCCATCGTTCCCGAGGGAATTTTCGGCTCCGCTCTTGCTTCCATGCAAAGGAGGTGTGAGTCGAAAAAGAGGGAGGACGAGGCACTCCACCTCTGCCTCCCTCGAAGGGTCCAGCCGCTGCCTTCGCAGCAGCAGTCCTTCGCAGCAGCAGTCCTTCGCCCAAGCTGCCTTGAACCCTGCTCGGTTTAAAACACCAAAAACGCAGAGGTCGCAGCCCGCCCCGAGTCCCCAGCCCAGGCTGGAGACGAGGGCGAGCTGGCCCAGAAAATCTCCGGTTCCGGCTGCAGCTCAGGCGCAGCCAACCCAGAATTTCGGCCAGCAGGCGAGGAAGAAGAAGCGAGCGGCGTGACAGCCCCTCCTTCTCCCCTCCGTGACAGAGCTGGAAGTCCACGGTTCCCCAGCTCTAAATGTGTTCCCGCCGCCTCGAGAGATGCCTCAACACCATCCTCAAGTCCGTAAAAACACATGTCACAAATCTGTTTGTTCCTCTGTCATTAAACATTTGCCGCTGACGCATCCAGGCTTCAGGCCGAGGGCGCAGCTCAAAAAAATTATAAGAAAAACAATAAAACCAATAAACAGCCCGCCAACTGTTCCCCTTCTGAGAGCAGCTTCGGCATCTCTCAAAAGGCGGATTACAGGCGGGTCTGTGAAGGCACCAGCGTCACGCGCATGCGCAGTGCCGGCTGGGGTTTTAGAAGCACCACCGCCACGCGCATGCGCAGTGCCGGCTGGGGTTGTGAAGGCACCACCGTCATGCGCATGCGCAGTGTCGGTGGGGATTGTCGAAAAGGGGCACCACTGTGTTCAGACACTAGAGGGCCCCATAACACAACAAATAGAGACTCAGAGGGGAAGAGATGTGACATCTCCACTGGCTCTAAGGAGCATGCAGTGGAAGATGCTCACATCATCTGCTTGGGTTTTCAAGACAGTAACACGGGGCTACAGACTCCAATTCGCTGTCACCCCCCCTCGCTTCTCGGGCATTCTGCATTCGCAGGCCCGAGGAGAGTCAGCCCATATTCTGGAGAAAGAGATTCTCTCTTTAGTTAAGAATACAGAGTACTCCCCTTCGGTCTGTCTCTCAGTCCAAGGGTGTTTGTACGATGTACGGAAGCCGCGATAGCCCCGTTAAGACAACAGGGTATTCGCCTGGCGACCTACCTGGACGACTGGCTGCTTCTCGCACAGTCGGAGCAGGACGCTGTTACGCAGACAAATGTCCTCGTAAAGCACCTGCTCAACCTGGGTTTCATAATAAACACAGAGAAGAGCATGTTGTGCCCCGCACAGACTATACTCTTCCTGGGTTTACACCTGAACTCGGTGCCCTTTTCAGCTCGCTTGTCAGCGGATAGAGTGAAAGCTTTCAGAGCTTGTCTCGCTCTTTTCCAGCTGCGCAAACATGTTCTCTTCAGATCATGCCTGCGATTGCTGGGGCTCATGGCGTCAGCCATCCTGGTCGTACGACTGGGACGCTTACACATGAGGGAGTTTCAGCGCTGGGTGGCCGCCTCTAAAACTAAACCCTGCGCGCCATGGCGCGCGGAGAGTGATGGTTACTGTGAAATGCGTAATGGCACTGCGCCACTGGCACTGCACCCGACTTTTCTAGTACGAGGTGTGCCTATGGGTGCTGTCCTTTCACGGAAAGTGGTCACCACGGACGCATGTCTGACAGGTTGGGGAGGTATTTATGAAGGTCGCCCGGTGAGGGGTCTCTGGAGCAGAGACCTCCAGCGGGCGCACATAAATTACCTGGAGCTTTTAGCGGTATTTCTCACCCTAAAACGCTTTCTGCCTTTCCTCAGGGGACATCACGTCCTCGTGAGGACAGACAATACGACCACAATATCGTATATTAACCGCCAAGGGGGTTTGCGTTCTCTCCAGTTACACACACTGGCGCGCAAACTTATCCTATGGAGCGGTAGGCGTCTCCTCTCTCTGAGAGCGACGCACGTACCGGGAGTGAGGAACCTCGGGGCAGATCTACTGTCCAGAGGTATACCACTTTATGCAGACTGGACTCTACATCCAAGGATTGTGAGCCAGCTGTGGGTGCGTTACGGCAGAGCCGCGGTGGATCTGTTCGCATCGAAAGACAACGCTCAGTGTCAGCTGTTCTTTTCGATGCGCGATCTAAATGCACCGTTAGGCGTGGATGCACTCGCGCACAATTGGCCCCCGGGCCTTCTGTACGCGTTCCCACCCCTGGCTCTGATACCCCCAACTCTGGCCAGAGTGAGAGAGCAACGCCACACACTTATCCTGATAGCTCCGCACTGGCCAGCTATGTACTGGCTAGCGGAGATATATCAGCTGCTGTGCGGGCAGCCATGGCAGCTCCCACTACGCAGGGACATACTGTCCCAAGAGGGGGGGGGCGATCTTTCACCCACACCCAGAGCGCTTGGCTCTATGGGCCTGGCCCGTGAGTGGTACAATCTAAATACAGTGTGACATGACGCTGACCCTGGCAGCTGCCAAGCGAGCCAGCGGCACTCATGCACTATCTGTACAGTTTTCATGCACTCAGTTTGCCCCAGGGCAAACAGAGTGTGGTTGAAGCCCAACCCTGCCTTTATCTTAAGGCGGTCGGTTCGGGTACCACATTTGACATTAAGGCATCCCCCCCGCCACTGTATTCCTCCGGGGAACAGCGGCCGGATTTGCCGTGTCCAGCCCGTGCTTCACGCACGTACAGGGACAGATCAAGGGTGCTTTGTCATAATGACCAACCCCTTGTGTCCTGGGCTAACCCTTATAAGGGCAAGCCTGTTACTAAGCAACGGCTCTCCCACTGGTCTGTGGAAGCAATTGCTTTGGGGCTCATACGAGTCAGAGTTCGCAGGCACCCTCGGGTCCGCGAGCTCTTTCGACTCAGAGTCTGGCTGCATTCTGGACTCTGTCCAGGATGTCTCCCATCAAAGACATTGGTGCAGCGGCGAGCTGGTCCTCGCCGCTCACTTTTGTCTGCCTCCTAACAGGCTGGACGTTCTGCTCCCAGTGTGACTCAAGCAGTGCTGGGCACCTGGTTGAGTCAGAGCTCTACCTGTTAAGTTCTGGTTGGTTTGGTGATTTTCGAGATAAGCTCGTCTGGCAATACGGGAGCTACAATTTCCCATAGTGAGACATCGAACGGAGTGTTATGAATGAGAACTATAGGTTACTTGCGTAACCCCAGTTCTCAGAGTAACATGAAGTGAGATGTCTCACCAGACGGCCCTCCTTGCTATGGTGAAGCGAGAAGAGGTGCTTATTTTGAATGGCGCATGCGTTGTGGCGCAAGCTACTTATAGGGGGTGAATTCCCTGACGCTGACGTCAAGATCACCAGCCAATCAGGATTGGCGTAATGAGATTGATGCTTCTGTTTGCTCCGCGATGAGGCGCATCCCATAGTGAGACATCTCACTTCATGTTACTCTGAGAACTGGGGTTACGCAAGTAACCTATAGTTTTCCTTCTAGTAGTTTGACTGCTCCATTTATGTGATTTGTTTAGAATAAATGACAAATTGAAAACTACAGTTTCATAATATTTGTAAAACTGATCATCTGCTTAATCTTGTTCGCATTTTAAATGTTGACAGTCTTCTCGCACTTGCCCAAAATAATGTGTGTTTGACATACTGTAGCGTTTCTTTAACGTAACAAACAACAAGAAGAGTAGGATATGGACTAGTGATTGTGATGGGTAATATGTTATGGTCTTACCCTGCAGGTTTGGACAGTGGAGAGAGTGTAAGTCTTTTGGGTGAGGAGCGAATGGACCAAGGATTTGCTTTAAAAGATAAAGTTGGCTGCGCTGGGCTGTGAGAGTGCTTCACTAACTAATTATTTGAAGCCTCCTCTCAGATTAGGCAAGACATGCAAAGCTTATGGACAGTTGCATAGCAGACAATCAGACCATGTAATAACCAGACGGACAATATTTGCTCAAATCCACTGTAACACCTCACAAAACAATGTGTGTAAAGCCCTAATGCTAAGTCCAATTCCACGCCACACTGCCTTGATAAACACCAGAGCCACCCCCACAATGGGTGCCATCTTTACTCTGGCAATTAGGCAGAGCTTTGGATTATCCTTTCCTCAGCCCAGCACACCACAAATCCATCCGGATTCAATTATTCCCCTCCCATGTCTATAGCCATTTGGGCAGATGGCCAGTAGAGAAATGTTCTCAAGAATTTCAACTAATGAAACTTTGTGTTCTACTACTTTTTTATTATTATTGCATTGCTGCAAGTTTGACAAGTCTATTAAATAAAAAAACAACCTTGGGAGCTTACAAACACTTTCCTGGTAAATATTTGATGAAATGAACAAGCTAAATGTACTGCATTTTTCTCCACAAACACGCCTCCAAAACATGTTTCTTTTGGTGAATGTTTAGTGCTGCATAAAAAAAAGTGTTGCAGTACATCCTTCCCTCCAAGCACTCCATGTTTTGATCCACGCCTTGTGGGCCAGGAGTGTCTCTAGTGGGCTCTGAGTAAGAACCTAAAATGCTTACTGAAAGAATTTGATTTGCTGTGTCTCGCTGCACCTCAAAGGCATTCTCTTTACTTATTAGAAAGCTCACTCAGGAGAAATTGTGTACGAGTTCAAGGGTTTTCAGGGGTCTGGAGACTCTCATCTCTCTACTTGAGGGCTCTCTGCAATGTGTTTGCTCAGATGCTTTTTTTTTCTCCACCTGGTCTGTCTTTGTGGAGGGGAAAAGCTGCTGTGTGTATTACTCAAGCATGCATGAGTATAAAGTGGATATTCCTTTTGCAGATCTGAGATGAAAGCCCCCCCGTCCACCTTATCTGTTTATCCTCTTCGGTGGCTCGCCCCCTCTCGCAGCAAATCACCGCCGTGACTGTCATCTCTTGAATTGTCCTGTCAGCTACTAACGCATTCCTCTGTGTGTCTCCTCTCTTTCATCTACAGATACCGCCGTGTCATCACAAAGAGGTAAGACAGCCCATCAGTCACCTGTTGATCCCCATGCATTTTCAGAAGTGTTGTGCGCGTCTGTGTTGTTCCGTCTTTCCGTGTTCTTTCTTATTATATTGCTAATGAGATGAAAAACATTTGATGGTGCTGTTGACGTTGATTTTAAATTCAATCGTTTCTGCTGGAGAACAATCTGTTTGATTACAAAGTCAATCACTCACACCCACTGACACTACATTATCCCGCTATGACAGAGAGCCTGTGTTCTCTACTGCTTTCTGTAAATCTTATGTTTAGGCTAATCACAGTTCTGTTTAAACTCCTCTACACTTTCACGTGTATGCTAATGTGAGGTTGGGGGAGGTGATTGTTCGGCACGGTGGATCTTCAGGGAGAGAGGAGGGGGCAGATTTTTGTAGGAACGTACCTGTAGGCTGTTTTGATTTTGTTAGACAATGGGGCCATACAGTCAAACTGCCTGAACAGCTCCAGGGGTGTAGTTCTGAGCGACAGCCTGCAGGTGTGTGCACGGAGCAGTCCCAGCCCTCTACTCTTAATAGTGGAGGTACAGTAATGTTGGAGGGTGTGTCTCGCTCTGTGAATGCAAAGCAGGAGCAAACAATCACTCAGGAGAATCCCCCGCTGGCTTTGTTGAAACTTCTTTGGTTCCCTGCTGTGCTTTATGAGCATAGGTGTTGTTTTATACGAGCTCACACCAGAGCAGAACAATGCAGGTGAGAATATTTTCATTGTCACCTGGATCTGATATAAAGCGTGTAACATGCATATTTAAAAACCTTAACAGCAGGAGTATTTCTTTGGGAAGATGGTGACATTTTAACACCTTTCAAAGCTTCAGATGTGTTAAAGCTGCTTTCAGATATCGTGCACAGATGATATAGTACTTCTGTGTGACAGGTTACACTTAGTATGCACACACACACACACACACACACACACACACACACACACACACACACACACACACACACACACACACACACACACACACACACACACACACACACACACACACACACCGTTGAGGGGTCTGTGTATGTGATGACTATGAGGTGTACCATGCTGTCAGGTGGGCCTATAAAGGTAAGTGATGTGGGTCACCCCAGCCTCACTCTCTGATAAATGTTGAAGGGGAGCAGAGGCTGCCGTGGCGTACATCATTCCTCCACAGCTGCTCCACAGCTGCTCCACAGCCGCTCCTGAAAGAGAGGGAGATAAATAATGCCGCACACCCCCGACAGTCAATGAATGCTCACTCTCTTAGCCCGTGCGTGTCCATGTCTGCTATTGTATGTCTTTATTTTCTTGACCATCCAATATGTCTAATTCAAATCTGTTTAGTCAAGAGCATCAACAAAAACAGTCACTGTCTCTCTGTCCCGCGCAATGAGAGGGCCACGAGGATAAATAGCCTGCCATAGTCATTCATACACTGTGAGTTATAGATGGTGTTGCTGCCGTGACAGTACTGTTCGTACCGAAGAGCCATGAGGCCTTGAGGCAAATGTTGTGTACATAAAGCATTCATTTTGTCTCTTAAAAGACGTTAATAGTGTGTGTGTGGGTGTGTGTATATTCCACATGAAAGATGGGGGGGGGGTCTCCCATCTGTTTAATATGTACAATGCTACAGTACATGTGTTAGTGCGAAGGCCAGCACGTAGTAATAGCTCCAAGTTTCCAGCCGTGGTTGTATAACCTTTAATTATGTTCATCACCAATATCGTGATTAAATCAGGACCTCATTATAGTGTGACCTTATTCTTTGGTTCTCCACTTTTGGAACATCCCCACTATCCACCCCCCACCATGACATCCTCTATCCAACACCACTCCACCCATGTTCAGTCCTCCTCCCTCTCCTCTGCCAAATTAAGTATATTTATGGCACCTGTGCTGGAAAAACAGTCTCCAGGAGACGTCTCTCTAATTTCATTTTCAAAATGCCAGCTATAAATTTATCAAATGGGCTGAATCGAATCCGAGTCACACGCAGTGCCATCCGTCATGGGCTGTCCCTCAGGGGCTTGTAGGCGTACTTAAGCCAGCCAAAAACCTCTGCTGGCAGGAGAAAAAGACTGAGGGTTAAGGGGGGGGGGGGGGGTGCTTGTAAGAGAGGAACCGGATGGATGTACTGGAGAAATACGCTGAGGACAAAGATGTGTGTGCATATCTCTATGTGCTAAGATTGATATGCCCAAGCATGAATAAGCTTGTGCATGAGTGTGGATGCATATGTGTGCACAGAGGTCAATGCTAAGTCTTCCACACATACTGTAGGAGCCTCACGATGGAATCTCAGTTAAGCACTTTGGCTGTCAATATGCCAGCGTAATAATTGATTAATTGCAACACAAGTTAATTGATTGTTTGGCTCCTTTTTGCATTTGTAAATCCCTCTCAGTTCAAACATCACTTTGAGCTTCATCCCCCTCTGCTGCCTCTGAAAACTCCAGGTTCACACGCTCTGTGCCCTCCCATTCCCCTCACATCTCTCACTTCCTCATCCTCTGTACCTGACTTTGGCACCTTCGCCTCTCTCTTTAAAAGCCTTTGTTCCCGTTTCCCTTTTGTCTCACCCCTCTTTTCCTCTGCCGATCTTTTCTTCTCCTCTCAGCATTTATCACTGTGCAGGTTAAGCCAGGCGTGAGTGAGGGTAAAGCAGCTTAGTACTAACAGGGCTAATGAAGTCAGGCCCCGTATTCCTCTGACGGGGATCAGTGGCGCTACTCTGAAGCCTGTCAGCATTTAATGATTAGATGAAACATTCAGACACCCGCTCGGTGAAGACAGGCACACTGATATATGTGGTAATACCCAACTGTGGTCTCTCTGACGCAGATCCACAAACATTTATGCATGTGCACGTACTCGCTACACAGGGACATACAGTACATGCACACATACACTCCCAATCCTCCCACTTTGCCATGGTGTTGATTTATGACTCAAACATGGCATCAAGGGGTATACACTGCAAAGTGATTGGAAGAAAAAAGGAATGACAGAGAGAAAGAGAACCAGCAATCTGGCTATTGATTCCTGTCATGTGTAGGAAATCGGAGAAAAAAATAGGCTGCATGCAAGCAATTTACCCCTCGCCTTGATGAGTAGATAGTAAACAACTCCACACGCTCTATTCAGGATGCATGCAGTGATCCATGGTTTTTCACTGCTTTTCAACTCTGTTAAAAAGGCATGATCGAAGAACCCTCACAGGGCCAACATATCTACACTTACTCGAACATTTCAAGATTCAGCTCCCAAATTGAATTCTTTGAGTTATTCTTCAATGCAAAAAGCTGAGGAATTAAGTGACAGAGGTCAACAAGATGCATGCATGTCAGATTGAAAGTGGGCCTGCAAGAGATGTTTTGCCCCATTCGCCACGCATGTTTATATACTTCTCAATTTAAATCTGTTCAACATCTTCAATCCACTGCTCAAGTGGGAACATTTTCGATCTCCACAGTATAAATTACTCTCCGGAACGTAAAATAACATGTTTAGCTCCAGTAGAGGAAACTTGGTTTGCACAGTCTTCTTAAAAGCAGTTCTATAAGAAAAAATGAATTAAAATAGTATCCGTTGTAAGGATTTATTTAAACATTGTTAAGAAAAATTGTGGCTGGTTTCTTTTGGCTACACCAGTACTTTGCATAGCCGCTCGGTCACCATTGATGTGTATGTGTGTGTGAACGGGTGATTGAGAGGCCAATTGTAAAGCATTTTTTTGTTAAAGTAGACAATCCCAATATTAGTATAGGCCATTTATCATATACCATGTTATCTTTTTTTTCTCCTAAATCAGTCTAGCATTTTTAAGTCTGTTAATTATTCACCTCATACATTCCTTCCCCTTCTGGTTAGGGTACTGTAAGTAAAGTAAGAGTTTAAGATATATCTAACAAAGATACAGAAAGTTTGAGTGCAAAAACTAGGCCACTGGTTTATTCAAAAGAACACACCACCATTTAACATAGCGATTAGAAAGGCCCACAGCTTAACCTGATAATCACGATGCACTAATCCTCATGTGATCCTCTCAGCTATTAACAGCCGCGTAAATCAAACTCCAAAAAAGCCTCCACCAAACACCTTTACAGAGGGTGATGATCTTGCAGCATTGCTCAGAGACACGATAATAAACATTAAGTTGAGCTGTAGCTAGGGTGTAAGTAATGATGTGTGAGAGACCTTATCTGGGCTCATTAAAAAAGTAATGCAATTAAAACCTCAGCAGGCTCCATTGCTTCTGTTCTGACCACTTTTTCAAGGTAAAAGGAAAACGGCCAACACAGAATAAACCTTTTACCTCTGATGTTCTCTACAGGTGTTAACATGTTTTTCTCCACTGACACAGCCCTAGTTTAAGCCGTACATGAAAGATAAAATGACATTAAAATGTAGTTTGGAACCAAGTGCTTTGCTCACTGATAAAAACTGATAGATCCCTCAAATGCAATATACAATGAATAATGAGTGTAACACTATACGGTATAAATGGGAGGGATGAGTTATTTCTAATCAATTGCAAATATGTTCTGCATGTGATGAAACTAATATATTATCTTTGCAACTGTTTTCTTTTAAATTGTGTCAGATGCCCCCAAACAGTAGATATGTAATGAACACGTTTTAGTGAATTGATTCTCTAATTCCTTTGTTTGTTGACTTAATTTGTTGACAGTAATTGCATGGTGAAAATGTTATTAAATCAAACAATAGATGATAAACCTGGTAATGAGAGCAACATGCACAATTATTAAAAATAGAAAATACGTTGTCGCCTTTCAAACTGCTTCTTATCCTTGTGAAGATGTGATGTTATAACAAATATCAGCCAAAGTAAACATCTGAATTATTCAGACATCTTTGTGCCTATAGCAGTGTGAATCTAAAGAGCATTGTTAATCATATATCTGTCATATTGTTATACAGGTGGCGCTTTGATTTACTTTGAATCTTATGTTTTCCCAAGTGTTACAATAAATAGT